CCAAAACAGATGAGCCGACCATCTGACCGTACTGCACAAGTATGATTAGCGCCAGCTGCCACTGCCAAAACTGGTCCCAAATCTGATGGCACATCGCACTGCCCATAATCATTCTTTCCAAAACAGATGAGCCGACCATCTGCCAGCACTGCACAAGTATAATTGTAGTTAGCTGCGACTGCCAAAACTGGTCCCAAATCTGCTGGCACATCACACTCCCCATCATCATTCTTTCCAACACAGATGAGCCCACCATCTGCCCGCACTGCACAAGTATGATAGTAGCTAGCTGCCACTGTCAAAACTGGTCCCAAATCTGCTGGCACATCACACTGCCCATATTGATTCCATCCAAAACAGATAAGCCGACCATCTACCCGCACTGCACAAGTATGACGAGCGCCAGGTGCGACTGCCAAAACTGGTCCCAAATCTGATGGCACATCGCACTGCCCATAATAATTATTTCCAAAACAGATGAGCCGACGATCTGCCCGTACTGCACAAGTAGTGCTGAGGGTAGCTGCCACTGCCAAAACTGGTCCCAATCCTGCGTGTAAGTGACGCTGCCCATGTCCGGTGCATGCATCGAAGGCTTTCCTCGCGACACCATTGCTATAACGGTTGCAGGAAACTCGGAACTTCCCGTAGTGTGGTGGGGATGTGGCAGCCTGAGTCCGTCTATGTATGTTTCTGGGCAAGCATCCAACACGTTGAAGCTGTGGCAGAGTGAAACGCGACAGACACAGCACGGGATCGTGCTTGTAGCCAGCGCTGACTGGCAGCATAAAACCGCCTTGCCTTCGTGATGTCCAGAGGTGAATGCTGGAAGACATGAGGCGTGCTTGATACGGAAAGACGACCATGTGGACAAGTAGTTGATGCTATTTGCTCAACCTTATTCCTAAACCTTGTTCCCATTATACATATTTTATTTGAGAAGACCATTTCCATTTTCTAGGGTTAGGGATTTTGGGTTGGGGAATATGTTTTTTCTATGGGGGGTGTTGGTCTATGGGGTTGAGGTTGGGTTTTTTTAATGTGATTCTTGGTGGTTCCATGGTATGGGTCTTGCTATGGGTCTTTGGGTGAGTTTAGGGTTGAGGTATAGGTTGCTATGGTTTTGGGTCTTGGGTGGCCTAGGGGCCTGGATAATTCGAACAGGGTTGTGGGGTATGTTGCCATTCACGGTCTCGGGGGAGAGTTCAAGCTTCTAACTTCTATAATATACATTGTACAACCTTCTCAACCCTGTCAAACCCTTGTAGCAAAACCTGCCGCCCCGACACCCACAGACTCAAACCCAGCAGGCAACCCACAAAGCAACAAACCCCACACGCTACAAAGCCACCCAACATCACGATAAACAGTACAGCCTAATCAGAGCCAGTAAAGACTCAGCCCTATAACCTCCCCGAAAACCTAAACTCCAAACCCTACACTACAAGCACCCTTACAGAACCCTTCGATTAAAGGCGCCCTACATGCTGGCCTGCCCACTTGCGATGCCCTGCAAAAAGGAGGTTGCATCCCTCAAGCTTTGGCTCCTCCATGGTACTTGAAGGATCATGGGACTTAGTAACTAAAGCTATAATTAAGGTAACTCTACTTCTAATTACTTAAAGCTCCAATTAAGGCACTTATAACCCTACTTACTAATTCCCATGATCCTCCATGGAAAGGCTTGTTTGCACAAGTTCGGGGGGAGAGGGGGTGCAAAGCCCTGGCAAGTAGCGAGTTTAAGGCTTTAGGGTTTCGGGTTTAGGGTCTAGGGTCTAGGGGCCCGCGATTTCCGGGTTAGGGTCAATGGTTTCGGGATGGTATCGGTGTGAACATTTCAGCGATTGAAACGCTTTACCTGTCCAGTGCTTTCGGGGTATCCATGCAGGTCTGAGATGTATCGGTCGATCGGTCTATCGATCTTTCGGTCTACATCGATCTATATCGTTCAATACCACTGTATGTGTAAAATGCATAGATGCACATCTATATATATATATATATATTCACATACAGATGGATATGTATATATGTGCTGTATATACATGCATATTTATATATATATATATATAATGTCGATCTAAACCGATGTGTCCATCCATCGGGTTACCGATCTGTCGAATTATCGATCTTTCGATTAACCTGACGACCAGTCGTTCTATCTGGCTGTTGGTTGGTTGGTCGGTTTGTCTGCCGGTCTAGTCTAGACTGCCTATCTACGTTTCTACCTATCTGCGTTTCTAACTATCTACCAGGCTACTTACCTCCCCATCTACCTGGCTCCCTATCTACCTAGCTACCGATCCACCTAGTTGCCTAGCTGCCAATCTAGGTATTTGCCAGTCTATCTACCTACCCACGTATCTACCTATCTACCTATCTACCTATCTACCTATCTACCTATCTGCCTATCTAGCTGCAAGTATGATACACGGGTCTATATGCACATACTTACATGTGCATGCATATTTATATGTTTATATATATATACATACACATACGTACGTACATATATACATGCATACATACATACATACATACATACATACATACATACATACATACATACATACATACATACATACGTGCATACGCACATCTACGTACCATATCCACCGGTTTATACCATGCATGCAT